TGCTTTGAGAGAAAGTGTTTCCCAGAAAGAAAGACATTTGGAAACGCTGTTTTGGCATCAACTGACTTCCACCGCTGCTACAAAGCATAGCTGAATTTGGGTTGGGATCTACGTGCTGTCAGGTGATGACAACTGCATCACGGTTGTGTGGGTTGGCCAGGCAAAGAGAAATCCCTCCTCTCACTCCACTAGTCACGGTCGGGCTTAGCCTCTGCCTACAAACAACTGCATCACGTTGGACGTTTTAGCTTCTTTACCCATACTGATCACAGAATCACAGCATGGTTTGGGTTGGAAGAGAGCTTACAGACCACCTAGTTCCACCCCTGCTACCATGGCCAGGGACACCTTCCACTAGACCAGGTTGCTCCAAGCCTCATCCAGCCTGGCCTTGGACACTCCCAGGGATGGGGCATCCACAGCTTCTCTGGGCAACCTGTCCCAGTGCTCCCCACCCTCTCCGGGAAGAATTCTTTCCTGATACCTAATCTAAACCTTCCCACTTTCAATTTAAAGTCATTCCCCCTTGTCCTGTCACTAAAGGCCCCTGATGTGACAGTATTCCCTAGGGAAGACAACCTGTTGCTATTAGTAGTTAGTGCCTCAACCCTGAGACTTGTGTTGGCAGCCCCTTAAGGATGGAGAGCAAGTGAAAACCGAGCCATGCCGCTGTCTTGTGTGAAGACGAGGCGATCAAACGCACATTAAAGCTCCTTGATAGCGATGCTACCCGTACACAGACTCTACGGCCTGTAAGAGGAGTGACAAAAACCCAGCTGAGCTGTAATGAAAACATGAATTAATGACTTTGTATCCGTCTGTGAGAGTCCTGGTCTCAGCTTTGCTGATTCCTAGAGGTGCCAGCGTGACACTTTTGATACACACCAAGTAAAAAATTAAATGAATGACCCTAACTTTGTGTTCAAAGTGGCATGAATATAAAACTAGCAATTTGGATTCAATGTGTTCTTGCAGATTTTTAACCCCAGGAAATATTCAGAAACACAGGGCTGTCACTTTGATGTGTAGGTGAATCAGTACAGTTTCCTTGGGGTCTTAGGAGACTGAAAAATGGACTTTTGTGTCAGCTTCCCACCAGTGCATTCCCATTGACACAAAGCAGCACAGAGCTGCTTCCCCAGGACCTCAGTACATTACCAGGCTGGGCAAAAACACTTAATTAAAGTGTAGAAACCAAAACACTTAATTAAAAGTGTAGAAAACAAACCAACGCAAAAGACTGAAAACATTTCAGACCACAATAAATCTTCAGTGCTTGAAACAAGTCAACAAACCTGCTAGGGAGGTGAAAACAACAACCCTAGAAAAATATCCCAAAGTAGTTTCTCAGCAAAAGACTTCAGAAGATCATGTTTTGACCGTGGTTTCCAAGTGAAAAGCAAGATTTACTGTCATCGCTCCGACAATTTTTCACTGAGAAGTGGTAACCTTATTCCAGAGACAAAATGTTCAAAGCCAGTCAATGCTTCCAAAGGGAAATAAAGCTGCTTTTCTGCCCCAGACATCCCGCTGGCTGCTTGTGTTGACACAAAACTCTCTTGTCCGAGCTCCTGAATGCTCTGCAAGCTCAGTAGGGTGGTGTAGTTGTTTTGTTTATTTATAAGCGTGGCAAGTTTCCTACTGTAGCTGCTACCACATTTAAATGATCTTGGCAAGAGCGAGGCGTATAGGATGCATTCTGAAGAAGGACCATGTCATTGCCTGGCAGGCAATTTCCCTTGGTTTTTTTTTAAGCCCAAAACACGTCTTTCCAGCCTCTGCTAAGTGTTACTATTTCTGAGGATGTTCGAAGCAGGTAAAGTGGTAGGAGTGCTCGAAGGGAGATAAACAAGGACTCTGGAAAAAAGCCTCACACTGACCTTGAGGCAGAATTCCTAGGGCTCTCCAGGCAGGTTTTTCCTTCCTCAGTACAACCCCTCATGGCAAATACATTACTTAGAATTTCTGCAAGGTATTGTAGAAGTTACAGCATTTTAACACCCCAAAAAGCCAAAAACAGTCTTTTTAAAGCTAAGGAGCATTTTCCCTGATCCATACTAAGTCTACAGCCACAATGCTGGCATCTAAATCTATCTGAAATAACCTTCAGAGGAAGCAGAACTCTCTTTCAGGCCAAGCACATGTCAATTAAACACCTAGTTATGCGAGGAGCCAGAAAAAAACCATACCCAAGTTACTGGGAAAGTTTGCAGCATTCAAAACCTAGCACAGCTTGCTGAGAGAGTCAATAAGGCTGGGAGAGACCGATGGCCCTGGAAAGGACAGTGGTGGTGAAACATCAGGAAATTAATGTTCCAGTTAACACCTTCTATAAGAAGTCTTTGTCTCAGGTTTTAATGGATATTCTGCATTTCCTCTGTTTCTAGGCAAGCAGTCCAGAGCTTTGCATTTGGGCTCGGTTTAGGTGGGACTGCATGTTACTGTGGAAGCTACAGAGGTTTCATGTTCTGTCTTACTGCAAACATTTTGGGTCATTTTTCTCCTTTCCTAACTTCACTCTTCTGCGTACTACTCAGAAGATCAAAGCTTTCAAACCACAGCCACATAATTTTCACAATCAGCTGGTTCCCACTAGCAAATCCAACAGCTTAAATGCTCGGTGCTGCTGTGTAGTCCACCCATCTCACACTCCTGTTCATCCCCTTCTCTCCATCCTGCCATCTCATTCCACTGGAGTGACTCCACAGGAGGCCACGGAGATGCTCCGAGGGCTGGAGCCCCTCTGCCATGGGGACAGGCTGGGAGAGTTGGGGGGTTCAGCCTGGAGAAGGGCAGGCTCTAGGGAGACCTTATTGCAGCCTTCCAGTGTCTGGGGGGGCTACAAGGAAGCCGGGGGGGACTTTTTACAAGGTCAGGGAGTGACAGGGCCAGGGGGTTAAATTGAAAGAGGGCAGATTTACATTGGACATAGGGAATGAATTCTTCCTGGAGAGGGTGGGGTGGCCCTGGGACAGGTTGCCCAGAGAAGCTGTGGATGCCCCATCCCTGGAAGTGTCCAAGGCCAGGCTGGACGAGTCTTGGAGCAACCTGGTCTAGTGGAAGGTGTCCCTGCCCATGGCAGGGGGGTTGGAACTGGATGATCTTTAAGGTCCCTTCCAACCCAAACCATTTGGGGATTCTCTGATTCCATGATTTCCTGACATGCAGAGGAAAGTGTAAGTTCTGCAGTGTTGGGGGAATGCTTGTCCTGGAACGGTGCTAGTTTGGGGAATGGAGGAAGGAAACCCTGCAGTGGTGAATCCCTCAAACCGTGTCCTTTTGGCCACTGTGTCCCGCCTGCACAAGCAGAGCTCACACCTCAAGTGCCTGCTCTGTGGGGCACGGCAAGAGGTGGTCTCTGTGGCAGGCTCAACCTGGCAACTTGTTGCTTCAAAAGCATGAGGTCCACATTTTAGCTTTCACTTAGCATCACTCAGCAGCTCACACTGGCCATGGGTTAGCTATTTCTTACAATTATGATGAGAAATTCCAATTAGCAAGTAGCAAACGTGTTGCTATCAAAGTCCACATAGACGGCACTTTCACAGCGTAGCGTGTTCTTCTATTCGTCTATGGGCGCATTGCTTATGATTCTGGGAGGAAATTAATTAGTGAAATAGCTTAAAAGCCCCACACTGTGAATGTCAGCCACAGACCCATCTCAAATTAATGTGATTTTAAAATTCATCTTAGACACCTGCAAAGGATGGTGTCCAAATGATGGTTCTGAAATCATGCTTCCCCCCTTTGAACTGGGAATTAAACTACAAATGCTTTACGAGGTCAGCTAGTTTCTAGTGGCTACATTCATTAAGGAAGTGTAATTGGAACGTGCATTTTGGGATCCTGCTGGCTACAAATCAACTTTACAAACTGATCCACAAACGACATGCCATCGAGGAACCAATTCAACAGCTGCTGAAAGTCAACCATTTCTGGAACAAACAACAACAATTGCTTACAGGACCCTGACAGCAAAAACTATGTTAGACACACAGCCCAAAGTACAGCGCCAAACGCCACCAGAGGAAAATGATGAACTTTCACAGTGCTAGAACTGTTATCCAGCCTGCTCAAAGTTTTGTCAGCACTAGGATATTTTTTAAAAGGTATCTACCAACTATGAAAATCAAGCCAACCTAAAATTCTTCTGTTGGCATGTCCCAGCTGGACGAGACAGCTTAGAAATACAATTTGTTTTCCCGTGCCAGAGTTTTAGAAAGTGTCAATGTGATACAACAACTTTGCAGGAGAAAAGGAAAAGCCACGCAAGAAAGCAAACTTCCCATTAAAAATTAGCAGATAAAGTGGAATTCAGGTTGGTTAGTTTTACTCCTGACTTCAGCAACTATCAAGAATCTGAACCTGACTTTCCCCATGCTTGATGATACAAAGTCAACACACAGCGTTCATTAAAAACATCATTTTTGGCCATCGTGGGCATCATTAAAAAACAGCCTTTCCTCGTGGAGCCACCCTTTTGCTACATTCACAAGGTCTTTGAGATGGAATAACCAGAAGACAGATTCTGATGTCAATTACAGTGGCCTAATTTATCTGTCACCAAAGCAGTGACTTTAGGTTTACCTGGAGATGAGTTTTGACTAAATAGTCCATATACGCACCCACATAAATGTAATACTAGCTACTAAGTGAGAACAAGACTAACACGTTCATGTGTTTATTTCCATTTGTAGCTTGCACAGTAAATTTATTGCAATGATAAGGGCTTTTCCTCATGTCCTCACTTTATTTTCACCTTCGTTCTTCAAGAAGGTTATTGATTTCTCTCCTCTCCAAATGCCGTATGATCTGGCAAGTCAAAGGGGACCATTTCAACGGTGAGGAGTGGATCAGGACACAACCCTGAATAGCAGAACTAATGGAATGCCATTTCTGGGCGAGCTCGCTGTCGCATGAGCAGTGCTGCTGTACGTGAAGAACCCCAAACCCTCTTCATGGACTACTGTCAAAGGGAGTTGGTGTGAAGAAATGCCTACCTGAAGACGGCAAGGCTCAGGGACCAGAGCACTAGTGGTTTCCTCAGTTCAAATTTTGCTCGTTTGTTCATTAGGTGCCGACCACCAAATATAAAGGCAGCATACAGAGCTGAAAATAGGAACGACTTCTTCCTGCAAAAGAAAACAAAAAAACCCACCTGTCAGGTATTTACTTAGTACTAGATACACAGCAGAGTCACATCTGGTCATAACTGCCAAGTGCTTTTGCGTCTCCTCGAAAGGAAACTCTCGAAGACCCCACTGCAGCCCAGCTGAGGTTATCGTTAGTGTAGGAACCCACAAGCCTGCACAAAGGACCAGGTCCAGGCAAAACTGACCCCGGGGAAGTTCTGAAAAAGGACAGCCAATCTTGCCTCCCATTCCTCCCTAGTTTCTAAAGACTGAACTTCTGTGAGGAACGGAATAGATGCTGCATAGCCCAGACATCTTTCTGCAAGCACAACACGTTTGACGCGTTTTGTGGCTCATTTAGCTTTTTCATAGCAATTTTTGTTTCCCACAGGCTCCTTGCTACCTGGCACTTTTAAGTTTCCCATTGTTTCCTCCTAAGAAGACACTCAAAAATCTTGAGCACCGCAACACAACACGAAGAGCCTCACGAAAAGGAGAACCAGCAAGGAGAGGTCAACAGCCCCATTAAGCTGCGACCAAGTCAGTTTAGGAAATCCGGTAAATTTGCTGAAAGGTCAAACAGGGTTCTGGTTATGGAACTTCAATGATACTCTTAGAATTGCTAGTTTTATTTTTAAAACTGCCTGATAGTAGTCCAGCTCAGCAATAATCAGCAAACATTTGAACTCTGCTCCTATAATTCATTGTAAATCAACCACTGCAGGTAAAAAATAAACTCATCCTGGAATTCCTTCCCACACAGCACAATATTACACTAAGACTTAATGATGAGCAGCATTAATGGTGGTCTAACTGGATGGGCCTATATTTAAGAAACAGATTTTCCTCTACAAAATCTCTAATTATATTCCAAAATATGGGTGGACTATGGCTCTGCAGCAAGTTTGCTTGTTCTTTCTGCATCCCCCAAAAAAAGAAAGCCAAATACTCTCAAGAAAGGTAACTACATTAAGATCCCAGAAAAGGCAGCAGCAAGATACAAAATTCTTCTGACGCTGGAACCCCGCTGCTCAAACCTCCCATCAGAGGCGAGGTTCAACCGCACTGTCATCTTTAGAGCTTTTAGGATTTTCAATTGGATGTTTATATAAAAGTATGTTGCTTCACTTCGAGATAAAGGCAAGGTCGTGCTCTTGGTGCCAAGTAGGCATATCTCAGAAGGATACTGACCACTTGGAGCGAGTCCAGAGGAGGCCACGAAGATGATCAGAGGGCTGGAGCACCTCTCCTATGACGAAAGGCTGCGAGAATTGGGCTTGTTCAGCCTGGAGAAGAGGAGGCTCCGGGGAGACCTCATTGCAGCTTTCCAGTATCTGAAGGGGCTACAAGGGTGCTGGGAGAGGACTTTTTACAAGAGCCTGTAGTGATAGGACAAGGGGTGATGGGTATAAATTGAAATCAGGGAGGTGTAGATTAGATATCAGGAAGAAATTCTTCACAGAGAGGGTGGTGAGGCACTGGGACAGGTTGGACAGAGAAGCTGTGGATGCCCCATCCCTGGATGTCTTCAAGGCCAGGCTGGATGAGGCTTTGAGCAACCTGGTCTAGTGGAAGGTGTCCCTGCCCATGGCAGGGGGGGTGGAACTAGATGATCTTTAAGGTCCCTTCCAACCGTAACCATTCTATGATTCTAAGTAGGTGCCACCTCCAGGTTTTTCCATGAGATTAGCCGGCTAAGGGTACCCCCAGCATGACACAGTCCCAAAGGCCAAGCTATACGTGCAGCACGGGATGGCATGGCACAGTGCGTGCCTGTGTCCGCTCAAGGCAACTGGTACATGGACCATGAGCTCCTTGATGGACACAGGTCTTCACATGAGCTCCACGAAAAATAAGAAACGCTGTAGCACCACATCCTTCCAACCGTACGAAGAAACGACAGGCACCCTTCACTGAGATAAATAAATTTTAGAGGAGGTTGAAAGCTAAGTAAAAGCCAAGTCCAAAGAGGCAGAGACGTGTAGTAGCACCCCATTTTCCATCCACCTACAAACGCCTCTGTCTCTACGGACTTGTTTATAGCTCCGCGTTGCAAACCACAGGTAACTGCATGAAAATCCGACTGGTGCTCTGCACTGAGATCCCCTGGGTGAGCTTTAGCATCCACGCTGGCACCAAGCCCCAGGAAGACCAGGATGACCGCAGAGCCAGCACCCTCTCACCTTGCACATCATCTAATTGCCACAGCAATGTTGATCACAACCACAAAGCCTCGGCCCTTATTCACCTCAAAATGAAGAAAAAAGCATTCATTTTCATTTCCATGGTCTTGAATTTCACAGTCAGGCAAGGGGCAGCATTACCACATCTGATATCGTGACTGCAGTTTATCTTGGCTGGAGGTCAGTACATATTTGTCAACTAGTTTGGGTAGTGATGAACCACCTCAAACTTGCTCATACCAAACCGCCTGTTAAGACAAGACTTATGGGTTATGGGATAGGAGCAGACTCTGTGAGGTTGGACTCTGTTCCCATCTCCTCCCCTCGGCAGCCCCAATGCCAATCTGGGCACGGGCAAGGGAAGGCAGAGGGAGCGTGTTGGGCTGTACCGCATCGGGAGAAGTCCTGCGTGCTTCTGCCCCTTCCATCCCATAAAATTCCAGGCTTACAGAACTCAGCGCAGACAGCAACGCACACAACGAGGTACAGAGAGACTCATGGCTGATACTTGAGCCAGGTCATGGAGAGGGGTCCCGCAGGAGGGACCCTGCAGCCCCACCTCATGAGGGATGTGTGAACTCCCCCCCCATCTCCCAGTACTGCAAGGGGAGTCCCTCACGCAGGAGAGGTCTGACTTGCACTGGTCCATGCATGGAGCATCAAAGCAACTGAAAGCAGTGCAGGATGACACCTGGAGCAGTGCAGGGTGACATGTCGAGCCGTGCAGGGTGACACCTTGAGCTGTGCACGGTGACACCTCAAGCAATGCAGGGGACAAGACTGCAACATGGTGCTGCCATACAGCTGCCAGCAGGACGTGGGCTACGTGGGCTGGCACGGGAGGAGGTCAGGATTTAAGAGCAGTAGCTAGGGATACTTTGTGGGATGGCAGGCAGGAAGCAGTTCCTTTCCGGATCAGATACAGCCAAGACTTCAAAATAATGGATTGACTTCAGCTCCCATTCAATAAAAAAAGGCCAGCCTGGATGAGTTAGCAGCTCAGGTCTGCACACTGCTTGACTGCCTTCTGCCTGAGCAAGATACTCAAGTATCGAGATACATCAAGCATGATTGAGTATATACAGTATATATATATAGTATATACACCAAGCACCATTGCATTTTGCTTCTTATTACTGGAACTATTTTTTGTGAGTTCAGTCAGTCTAATGAGGTCAATAGTTACATTATACTAATTAGAACAGATAAATTTTAGGTCACTTCTAACAGCTTTGTAATGAGTTACAATGCATTATTCGCCAAGATGATAAAGGGTATTCCTGCAGTACTCAGCTTTGCGCTGGCAGTGGCAAACACGAGGAGATGTGAATGCACACCCGACGTGAACTGCAGAGAGCAGCTGTAAACAGATTCAGACAAGCAGGGGCACAGTAGTGTTATCTGCTATCAGAGGTGAGCACAATACTGAATAAAGATCAGGCTGATTTTGCAATCATCTCTCTGTTTCAACACCTTCTGACAAGTTGTGATAACTTTTACTTTTTGCATGCAAAGGATTTTGAATATTCCCCTCTTGGCAGCATAATACTGGTTCAAAGGACTGGGTAGTCCAGGTGATATAAAGGGGTTGCAGAGGTGTGTACTCTTAAAATAATCTGTTTAACTACATTAGGCTGGTATTAACCAGTTTCCTACCAGTATTTTTATGATGGATTTTCCTGAAAGGTTCAAGACTGGTTCCTGGGCTGGTGACACAGAGCAGTGGTGACCTGACAGCATTCCATTATATCCGATACGGATTTAGCCAAAGGAGGCTAATGTCAGATACCGCATCTTTACAGACAGTTTTGGAGCTGCTCTGGAGCGCCGTAACTTTTGATTACTGTTATCTGAAGAGAAACTAAATAGAGCAAAACGACAACAACAAAAAAAATTAACCTTGAGACTAAAAAAAATTTAAAAATTCCCCAAAGTAACTCAGGAGCAGACTTGCATCCAATAAGTTCAGTGTTAGCACCCTCCTATGTTTGTCTTCAATTCCGTTCCGCAGGGTAACACAGTAGACACAGACTGCCAAATCCTCCACATCTTTCTGGCATTTCTGTTTCTCACAGTTGTCTCCCACCTTCCTACATTTTCAGACTTCAAGGACTAAGTACTATCTCTGCGGAATACAACTCCATGTTTCCCTGTTGAAAGATGCCAGAGAAACAGAAGGAAAAGGATGAATGATAAGCGTGGAAGCAAGTGAGGAGAGATGGCCAAGAGATGGCCATGAAGCTGGGACAGCACGGAGGCAGCGGAACAAGACAAGGAAGAAGGCAAGTAACTGAGAGGAAGAGGTAGAAATTGGGGCTGATCAAGGAAGATAGAGGAAATCTACCCCATCAGGAAGAAAGCTTCTCCTCATTTCCACCCAGGAAAGCCCACTCAAGCACCAAGGGGCAATGGGGAGAGATGAGCCATCCAGCCTCAGGCAGGAAAACACGTGGAAAGGGGAAGCCAATAATCCAAAGAGGAAAGCAACAGCAAACAGATGGCCAAGGAGCAAGAAATCCTGGCTCCCCCAGAAGTATGTTATTTATAAACTGCTGAAAAGTATGGAAATTACCACGCCAAGCTAAAATAAGGGGTGAAAGGCTGAGGGCGAGCCTCAGGCACAGCAGCACGAGACACCCAGGCATCCCTGATGCCAACTTAAAGACCCCTGACCATCCCAGTGCTGCTGAAGGAGGTGGCTTCAGCCCAGATGCGTGGTTGGCATTTTCTTCCCTTGGAAGCAGCAGCCTGAGTCATTATTGTGGATATCTCTGATGTTAATGAGTAAACTGAAACAGATACGTGCTGTAGAATTTA